CATATCAATTTTGCTTATATATATTTCACACTTAGCACTCGTTTGCTCCTCATTTTATTATGGGTGCAAACCGATCGGCTGCATCCGAAGGAATTTTCGGCATCGACAAACTCCAACGCATAATATGGTGTACATGGGCTGTGTAGTTAGCTGGTACGCGGTGTAGGGTGCTGCCGGGTTAATACGATACGAAGGGGGTAGTTCGTATATCCCTGTCTAACGGGTAGGGTTGCCCGGGATAAGATCAAAGGCAAGTGTCCGACGCCCCAAGTAAACTCCTAGCGGACGCTGGTTGGCGCGACGCCGATAAGTACATGGTGCGTGTGTAGATATAGGGGTTGATTGCAGTAAGGGATGAGGATTTAAGGGTGCAACGGGTAAGCACGAGAAGACAACCCTTAACAAGCGTAATTGGAGCGGGTTGCCAGCGGGGGACTGTGGTTTCTCTGCATAGCCAACTACCCTTAAGATATTCCACCCCCCTTTCTCAAATTATCAACCCCTCCCGCTATTTCGAGTCAGCGTCGAACTGATTTTTGAGGGTTGGGTTTTTTAGTCAGAAAAAAATTTTTCAACCCTCTCCCACTTACGGTTTCATCCCTTGGTCCACTTTGAGATCCGAGCTGTCAATGTCAATTTATATATAGCGCAATGATACCGGTACATCCCTTATCGCCTTCCAGGTGAAGACGATCGAGAAGGGCGGGAAAATTTGAAATTGTCTCGTCCCTATCTCAAGATCGTGGATCCTGGCTAAGGTCCTGGCCCAGTGGACGCCGCTTAAATGTCTGTAGGTTATGTGCGGGGAAGTACCGGTATAGAAACAGGAAGAGGGACAGCTCGATAATGTTCGGTAAAGTGAGCGGGTAATTTGATTGCGCCCTAAGATAGTAGGAGTTAAGGGTTGATGAAGTTCCGAAGGAGTTAGCCCCCTTCACTTTCAACCCCCCTCGTTCAGTACCTATACCAACCCTGTCCCGAGCTTCGTGGTTACCCAGACATTCCGCGTGCTAAAATTCTTCATACCTCTCTACAAGACACTTTGCCGCTGTATAAAATTGCACGGCCTTACTTTTTTTACCTGAAATACACATTTTTGTCTATAGTCTCGAACCGGTATCACGGTACGTTCTTCGCAGGTCCATGAAAATGACAGAAAGGCCATGGACCTTTTTTTTTTCTATAATTTTTTTCAACCCCCCTACCCCCCTCTAATTTCATGTCTGTCTTGTTTTTCTCGTAAAATAAAAGTTTCGAAAAAAAAAAATGGCGATTACTATTTAAAAACAGCGACGAAACACCCTCGTTAATTTTAGAAAGTTGGGAATATTCAGCAGTGTTGAAATTACGCAATTCCTCTCCCACCCACCCACCCAACTATCCCAGCTATACAAAGGCTTGACAACTGTATCTTAATTAAATGTTTTAACTGTCAGGGGCAAGGGTAAGTTCCTGGCGCTCCGGCGGAAGGAAGGAAGGAAGGAGTTGGCTTGATGGGGCGCATGGGAAGTTCGGGGTGGGTTTTCTGGCAGAGGACGGAACACGACGCCTCCTAGCGAGGCTGGGGTTGCTCGAGGTCGTCGAGGCTCCTGCCTAACGTGGAGGCTCCTCGGAATCAGCACCCTGGCAAATTAACTGCTGGCCAAAGTTCTAACGAGTTTCAAGAGTCTCGACGGCATTTATTTTCAGTTAGTTTGAGGTTAGGTCCGAGCAATGGCAATAACAATTATCCTTGTTTAAGCGTCCAGGCCCGTAGTATCTTTATACGAATAATAACATCGTTATCGAGACCCTTAATTAACTAGAGCAGTCACGTCGTACCCTATGAAATAATTAAAATTTTTATAAAAACAAAAAAAAAAGATAAAAATTACATATTCAATTTTTCGTTCCATTGCATTATAAAATTCGTCACCTTTAAAGGGTCGTAATAAATTTAAAAAAAAAAGGCACCCAGCATCCCCTGCTTATATTTTCTTATCGAAAAATCCTTAAAACCTCTTAAGCCCGAAGATACTCAACCTTTACGTATCGCGGTGCTTGTCGAAATCGAAGTTCTTAATTACAGGTAAAATTTTGAGTGCAAGAACGACACTTGGAAGTTGAGCTATTATTATTATTATTATTCAATTTGACGTGAGCCAATTATCACGGGTCAATTTAAAATTTATGAAATTCTTGATGAAATTATCTCGACCGAAAGTGAACCGCGTTGATAATACATCGCTGAGTGGTTTAATCAACTTTATCAAGGACTTTCGGTTTCCCGGTTGTTCCTCGTTTGATAACGTTTCGCGCGGTAGTCGCTCCCGAGATAAATTAATTAGTAATAGGGGAAAACCGATAGTCGTTATCGACCTTAATTGTTTTATACTGCGGCCAGATAAAAATACGTCATTCCAATGTAAAACGACTATTTATTTATACTGCAGCCATTGGAGTCGATGCAATTATTTAAATGACGTACGTTTAATGGCTTTTAGTTCTTGACATGGGTATAGCCACAGAGCAATATATGGATAACGGTAATTGCTTCTTGGACCCATAAAATGTATTCCGTGTACGTAAAATATTTTTTACGGTTTTTCAATAAAAAAAAAAAAAAAAAAAAAAAAAAATACTGCAGCCATTGGAGTCGATGCAATTATTTAAATGACGTACGTTTAATGGCTTTTAGTTCTTGACATGGGTATAGCCACAGAGCAATATATGGATAACGGTAATTGCTTCTTGGACCCATAAAATGTATTCCGTGTACGTAAAATATTTTTTACGGTTTTTCAATAAAAAAAAAAAAAAAAAGAAAAAAAAAATTAAGACGATATATATACATATACCAGACTACTTCTGTCCTTTACTCGCGTTCTCGATATCCCAGCCATTAGACCGTGATTGTTGGTAGCGAAGATAGCGGGCAAGGGGGATGATAGGAACAACCCTTAAAAACACCCTGGTATCCGATAATCGCTATACTTTATTGTCTTCCCAATAAAACTACCCCCGAATGCTATCACGATTTTACGAGTGCTCCCCATTGGCCACTTAATAGTCATGAGAATCATATTACGTTACGTGGATTCAACTTTCATCCCCCTGTTAACCCTGCTACCCTTACTTGATACATGTTTGAGTATCAACCCTCGGGTTATAACACGAAGCTGCGTGTACATAGAGAAATCGTAAAGTGTAATAAGTAAATCGTACAGTTTGATGAGAGCTGTAATTAATTGAAAGGTTACGAAAGCTTTCACGACACCGTTGCTGTACTTAGTATATATAAATTTTAATCACTGAAAATACGAAAAAAAAAAAAAAAAAAAAAAAAAACCCAAAAAAGTATATATAAATTTTAATCACTGAAAATACGAAAAAAAAAAAAAAAAAAAATAACCCTAAAAGGCCGTACCGAGATGGGGCAAAATAAAAAAAAAAATTGTAATATTTCCTGCGAAGCTTTTTTTGCCCGGCTTTAAAACGACGCACGTACCGCGCGTTTAAAACGGGAATTATGGCCACTCCGCGACGTGACGCCCGTGTAAACGCACACGGTAGCCATAACCGTAAGCAAGGTATTACTAATTCAGAAATGGCCACGTAGCCTCGTTATTAATTAAATACGTACCGAAGCACGTGTAACAAGGTCGGGTAAGATAAGGGTGGATAGATCAGGTGGATGGGGTATGGTCAGTGCTTAAGTTAAAATGAAAATGCGAAGTGGTCGGGGGTCGTGGGTCACCGAGTCTAGGGGTAAGAATGGTCGGAAGGGGGTAAGTAAAGGATTTGGGAAAGGGTCGAAGGGCCGCGGGGTGGGTGGTGAAGAGGGAAAGGGTGATATAGCACGGAAAGAATAGGGGATGATATAAGGACGAAAGAGAGAGGGTAAACGAGAGAAGAAAGAAGCTGAGTGTTTTGGAGCAGCCTACAGCGCCCTTCAAAGTGCGCGTCTACCGGGTGCTCCCTTTGAAGAAAAACTCTTTGTTAATTATTAAGGGGCTTGCTACCCTGCGACGTTGTCATATTTAAAGAATGCCACCGGGTCCGACGACTTTGAGAATTTCTTATTCCTCTTGGCATATACATATATAGATATATATCTATATATGCTCGGAGCATTATACCCATAGACCGTGTTAAAGAGGTCGATCCGTCTGACTGTTATAGGGGTAGTTATGGATAGAAATATTTTTCAATATCAGCCTACAGGCATATACCTAGTAATTTCTTACGAAATCTTATCAACCAAGCCGTTTTCAACCCCTGGCTATAGTATAATAATTTTTACAAAAACAGCCCCCTCCCGAAATAAGCCTGAAACTTGACACTTCCAATTATAAGTTCTGCCCATCCCCCCCTTCGGGTGGGGTTGGCGTGACTTCCGACAGTGCAAACCCCCCCCCCCCCCT